GGAGAGTTTATTTATTCAGCTTTTATTTATTACATAAATCTCAATTGTCCAAAATATACTCTATTGACTGGTTTTGTGGTCCAGAGTCCCAATATTTTGTCAAATTAAAACATAAAAAGAAACAGAATTTATATTATAATTTCTATAACCAATCTGGGAAAAAACTCAACAAATTTAATTGGAATAAAAGAGGAGAACCTAAGAAAATAATGTATATATACACATTACAGGTCAAAAGTTTGGGGTCAGTGTGATTTTTAAATGTTTTAATATAAGCTCACCAAGGCAATTTTTTTCATTTCGGTTTAGTCCCTTTATTAATCTGGGGTCGCCACAGTGGAATAGCCGCCAACTTATCCAGCATGTGTTTTTACACAGAGGATGCACTTTCAGTCGCAACCCATCTCTGGGAAACATCCACACACTCATCCACACTCGTACGGACAATTAAGCCTAACTAATTAACCTGTACCACATGTCTTTGGACTATGGGAGAAGCCGGAGCACCCGGAGGAAACCCACGCGAACACAGGGAGAACATGCAAACTCCACACAGAAACGCCAACTGACCCAGCCCAGGCTCAAACCAGCAACCTTCTTGCTGTGAGGCCACAGCACTACCTACTGCGCCACTGCGTCACCGGGCTGTATTTATTTATTCAAAAATACAGTATCAAATGTAAAATTGTGAAATGTTCTTGTACTACAAAATAACTGTTCAAAAGTAGTTTATCATTAAATTTAATCTACTGACTTTATTAATCAATTTTCAGCCTCATTACTCCAGTCTTTAGTCACATGATCCTTCAGAAATCACTGTACTATTAATTATCATTATAATTATTATTATTATTATAATTATTATTGGTAGTAGTAATAAAAGCAATAATGATTGGAGTAATAATTTCATTTAAAACTACATACAATAAGTTATAAATAAATATTTAATAAATAAGTAAATAATTTTATTTTATATATTAAAATTATTAAATAAAACTAATAATTTATAATATATATATATACATACATACTATGGGTCAAATATAAACCCAACCATGCAATCAAAAGACAATACAAATATTATATTTTTTTAATATATTAGTATTTGCCATCACATTTGACTCTCAAACGGCTCAAATCCAAAAAATAGATTTTTCTTTAATACTGTAAATTATTGAGTGTAAATTATTATGTAATGGAACGTTGGTCCAAGCACCAAACTCTGGAGGAGCACTGTGATTTATATTTGGATTTTTTGTCAACCTGGAAACAAACTCTCCAAATGTACAATCACTAAAAAATATGTGTGCTGCTTGATCAAACTACTTTATTTATAATAAGCTTAAACGACACAATTCTTCAGAATAAATTGTGAAAACTTAATTATTTTATGTTCAATACACTTAAATTTAATGCGTTGACTTAATCGATTTGTGTTTGGATGACATAAATTAATTGTGTAACCCTGCATTTTCTACAGTGTTCAATTTCAAATACATAGCAATCCTAAGAAAACTGTAAAAGCATGAGTCTAAAACAACCCAATATAGAAAAACCAAACACTTGGAGTACAATTTTACTTTAAAATTCAAAGTGTAATACAACTGTTGGTTTTATCCATATCCTATCTGCAACAAAATGCTATTGTCTACTTGAATATTCAACTTTTAATCAGTTCAATATTAGCTTTGTCATTAGTTTTGAAATTTACTACCAATTTCTTTTCAAAGAAATCTTGCATGTGAAATCCCTTGGCATGGACCATGAGGCTTTTGAAGCACAGGTCATATAGCATGAGAACACGCTGTCCCTTTACCCTTGTGGAATAACAATAAAGTGTACAGTAGCCACGTTTCTGCTAGATAAATCTGCTGCACCCACACTGTGCTCTGTTCAGGCTTGATTGACAGGAACACATAGTGAGCTATTAGCTGATTATAAGTACAGGCTAATCCCACATTTGTCAGTTTCCAGCTGATGTCTGTTTATGGAACAATGAGGCCCAACTCTCCCCTTCTTTTCTAAAAACAAGTGGACCGCAATCTCACACACCTGTAACACGAGCGAACACAAGCCACACGCTGGCATCCGCTCTCACACGCCGCACGACACACATATCGAATAAAGCCATCATGTACTTATTAGAGGATGGCTTTGGCACAGCGTGACAGCCTTTATACATGACTGTCTATTAAATACTCCCACAAACGCTTCAGACGAACTTTGAGGGCTATGCAAAAGACCTCTCATGCACTTCTGCTTAAGAAATGTTTTTCTGTTGTTGTTCAGTTGATGAAAGGCATTTAAAAAATAATTACAGAAGGAAAAATAAGGTAAAATGCCCTTGACATGGTCATTGTGGGGAAATGTGTTTGGATGTGTGTGTCTGTGTGTTTAGCTTTCACGAAGCCATTTCTTATTTATAAATATGACGAGAATGAAAGATGACCCCATCGTCTATGCGGACACTTTATTTATTCTTATTCTTTGACACGGAGATGAGCACTGGCCTTGGATGTTTCACCTTTCTATATTCTTTTTTTTTATGAATTTCAAGGTAGCAAGTTGTTTTCTTTGTGAAAAGAAGCTTCCTGTGAAGAACCACAAAGCGTTCAGATTGAATTGTGCACTAATTTTGTTTATTCAAGTTATGCAAGTTGCAAATAATATATAAAAGATCTTACAATGCATATTAAAAGGCCTATCACTCAAACAGATGGGCATAAAAAACTTAAACAGTAAATATAGGGATTTTGATGGTTCCCTTCAAATATCTTTCTGAGTTAGGGCTGGGCAATTAATCGAAAAGTGATTAAAATCAGCATTCAGAACCTGTAATTTTTCCAGGTCAATTTTTTCAGTTACTTTCCCTACCGCGTGTGGGGTCACGTGACCCGACTCCGTTAAGGCTGATTTATACTTCTGCGTTGAACGCACGGGTATGGTCTGAATCAGCCTTCACATGGTCGCATACCTCTTAAAAAATGTGACTACACATCGCACGTTTGCACCACATTGATGATGATTGGAAGCAGCGGCAGAAATGCCTTGAGGTGGCACCCTTTTACAATAAAATTATTATTTACATGAAAATATTTGTTTACAGAAGTTTCAAGAAACGCACAATTTAAAATATTATATACAAGATATACAAGAGTTATTTAATTTAGAAGAGATGCTGCTTGTTTTCTACTTTGAAAACATTAAAAATACTTAATTTGGTTTCAAAAAGTGCAAGTTATTTATTTACCCTTTTTTGGTTTTAGGCAAAGTGTGTTTTAATTTCAGTTCTTCAACGTTGATGTTCAGTAAATCATCATAAATAGCAGATAATGTATGTTTCCTTCAATTATTTTAAAATCAAACAATGCCCTTCATTCAGAAAACCCTTACTTGTAATATGCGAGCATATTTACTGTACAAAGCTTATCAACGAAGGCAAAAAATAAAATAAATAATTAATATAATCGATCATTAATCGTTAAGTGTTCAATTAATTGAGATTTTGATTTAGGCCAAATCGCCCAGCCCTATTCTGAATATTTGTCACATTGTTAACTAATTATCGTTAGAGTTTTAGTAAACATTGTGTTAGCGTATGTTGAAAAGTTCCTGCATACTGTAGTTATTCATAGTCAGTGTTGGTGGAAAATCAAAATAAAGTGCTAGCAAAAACATTAAAGGGACAGTCCATCCATAAATAACATTTCTGCTGCTCATCCTTCAATTGTTCAAAACTTCCTTTTCTCTGAGTTTCTTTCCTCTGTTGAACTCAAAAGAAAATATTTTGAAAAATGTTGGTTGCAGAGACCTTTTGCCTTCCATAGTATTTTTTATTACTATTAAAGCCAGAGGTCCCAGCAACCAGCATTTTTTTAAGTACTGTATCTTCTTTTCTTCATGTAAAAGTACTTGTATAGCCTGCCTTTCGTGTATAGTTTTAAGTATTTTATTTTATTTTATAGTATGTTAGTTTTTTTTTTATAATAGCACCGTTGTTCTGTGAGAAATGACATTTTGTTCCTCTGTATGTCCACACACGTAGCAGAATAACAATAAAGCTTGACTTGACTTGACCTGAGTTCAGAGGAAAGAAACTCATCAAGGTTCAAAACTACATAAAGGAAAGTGAACAATAATGTAATTTTGCTTTTTGTGTGAACTATCTCTTAAAGCAGACAGTTTACTAATATTTGAAATACTAATGAGTAATGTAGTAATGGAAATGTAGTAGCAAAGTCCTATTCAAAGGGCTGGTTTTTTCCTCAAAAAGTGGAGCTTTTTGAAGTTATTCTCCTCAATTTCTATAAAATTACAAGGTTCAAATACTGCATTTTTGTGACACATCAAGCACTAATCTTTGCTACATTAGCTTGTCGGATGGTGATCTTAACCACCCTTTTTGGTGCAACAAAAATATTTCTCACTTAATAACCTAATAAATAGCTTAATGTTACACAAGCTGTTTTAAGTTATAAGTTCAATGGACTAATAAGGTTAATTTGATTCAGCTTAAAGATTCAGGACAACCTGGATTTTTTTTTACAGTGTGCAATTTTGTCAGTGTTTACCATACTATCATACCACTAAGCGTTTATTTAGAAATGTGCATTTCAACTATATTCATTTATTTTCTTATCGGCTTAGTCCCTTTATCAATCCGGGGTTGCCACAGCGGAATAAACCGCCAACTTATCCAGCAAGTTTTTACGCAGCGGATGCCCTTCCAGCCGCAACCCATCTCTGGGAAACATCCACACACTTACACTCATACACTACGGACAATTTAGCCTACCCAATTCACCTGTACCACATGTCTTTGGAGTGTGGGGGAAAACGGAGCACCCGGAGGAAACCCATGCAAATGCAGGGAGAACATGCAAACTCCACACAGAAACGCCAACTGAGCCGAGGCTCGAACCAGCGATAAGTTTATAAGTTTTTATAATTTTATAAATAATTTTATAAGATTAGAATTTTAAATAAAAAATTTAGAATAAAGAAGTATTACATTTTTTTATTTATTATCGTGCATCATGCAAAAGAATGTCTAATGCCTACAAATAATAATAATTCTACATGGAAAAATATAATAGTTAAATTTATTTATTTTCTTTTTTAGGTTCTTTTTTAGTCTACAACGGCTTATTATCTTTGCAGAGAGGTGTTTCAGGCCTACTGGGACCACTTAAAAGTTTATGCAGAGCACCGGCCAAGTAACACAGAAAAAGCCTTGAAGTATACACACATAGCGCCTTTTCTCTGAGCCTCTCAGGCCTGGCCAGGGGGAGTGTTGTTGGTTTATGAGAGGGAAAATAGCCCAAGCTTCAGCAAAAGTGAAACAGGATTAAGGCCTTTGTGACACACACAATGGTTAGGGGAATTAGCAATAGTTGTAGGCACTTAGAGGGGCTCTCACACTGAAGCTTATCCCAGATTTTGCACAATAATCATTTGAATATCAACAGTGTTTTGCAACTACAGCGCTAATGTATAAACTTCTCTCTTTTGCGTTAGTCCAAATCCCCCAGCTGATGAAGCCGTTGATTGAATTTGTCTGGGGGAAAAATATTATATTACATTTTGAATTTATCAAAAAATATCTTCTTTTTTTCTTATAACTCTTATTTTGGATCTGTCTCCTGTTTTTAGTGTTCCAATTTTAAACATATTTTAAATCGTTCTAATCTTTCCCCATGTCATCCATACTGTTCCAAAGATGATTTTTTTTTCTTCTTGTTGGCTTATAGATGATAAATCATTAGGTTGGTGTGTGGAAAGTAGCAGTGGGACATAGTGTGGAGTCTGTTGGCATCTGCTTATCTGCCTCATTAGACTGTCTTTTACGGGGGCTGGGAGGGAGGCAGCCACTGCTGTTAGCAGGGAGCTCACAGAGGGGAGTAATCCTGCACTGCTACCTCACTACAATCACACTGCCATGCCTGGAGGAGTGTGATGGTTTCAAATTTTTTTTTCTGAGAAAGAGAGAGAAGTTGGAGAGAGTGAGAAAGGGAGAGAGAGAGAGAGAGAGAAAGAGGGAAAAAAGTATTGTCTATATCACAAAACATTGAGTGAGATCAGCGGACTTGTCAAGAGGCCTTGGCTTGAATATGAATGATGAGAGAAGAGCAGGGTGGTCTGGGTGGCTCGGGCGGAGGCGGGCGAGAGAATAAGCCCAACTGTCCCTGCCAGCCTCACAGCAGGCAAATCAAACACAGTTGAGACACCTCCGCTCAAAAACTCTCTGATGACAAAATAAGAGAGGAATGCAGCCGAATTTCACACAGGCGGAGGGAAAGCCGGCGTTCACAGCTATCCATATCATCCTCTGCGGTGAGGAAAGTGAGCGTTCCATATTTTATAAAAAGAAAAAGTTTACAACATGGTTTCTTGTCGAGTGTTACTCAAAACGTTTTGCTGGCTGCTTATCGTGGTTAAGTTGTTTGTTGTTGTTTTTTTCCTCTCCATCTTGAGGGAAGCAGTTGGGTCAGCCACAAGTAAGATGTGACGTTTTTGGGGTTGCTCTAAATGAAGACATTAAGACATGAAATACCCCGCACCCCTTGCTCACACAACTCTCCCCCCGCTCCGCCGTCCCTCCCGGCCTTCCCCAATCCCCACAGACTTGTTCAATTCACTAGAGTGTCTGCATAGTTCTCTCATTCAACTGGATACAATGATCCGCGAGATGAATAAAGTTATCTCTGGGGTGAATGGGATGTTGCTGAAGGGAGGAGACAGGGAGGACCCAGCGGGGGCCTGAAAGAAGCCCCGTTTGAGGGGCAGATCTGAGGGGTCGGGACCCAGCTGCCTGGCCGGGTGAAAGGGACACCAGCGGGCTGGACAGGCCCAAGGAAACAACAAAACAAATCCCCTTCCAATAAAGACATCCCACGCCGGACGCACCCGCGTCCTGCTGCAAAAGTTGCTGATCACTCACATTTCACACACTGAAACTTAAGGCTGTTTAGACTATACATTTAAGTGGCAGTCAGCTACTTTTTCCCTCTGCTTTTTGAAAGGGGGAGGCAATGTATTCAGACTAGTCCTAGTTAATTTGATGAAAACGACAGGGCTACAAAGGTAGGAGCTGTTTTGAATTCTCCATTTTTTTTTTCTTTTGGCATTTGGATAACTTTGGCTGACTGTCAGTTGTTGTCACCGTTCTGGCAAAGTCGAATGTGTTTTCTACTGTTTGTGAAGCGACAGAACTATTATGTCAAGTGTCTAATACGTTATTTGGAGGGAAAATAAACGCCAAGTTTAAGCAAAAAAATAAAAATAAAAATGACATTGTGCTGGAAAACAAATGCAGTCTGTTAAAGTTGTTTACTTGCGTTGGAAAAAATTCCTAGACCTGCGCTATATGTCTCCTATTGGTTAAAAAGCGCATTAGTCGAAGGGGTCACATCTTTTCTGGGGTTACACCATTTCCTTGATGGCACTGAATTGCTCTAAGTTGGAATTTGCAGGGGGTAAGTAGGATGATAATCAGGCCATATTATAAGGAATTGATGGTTCATTTTCCCTGTCAGCAGTAGCACTGCCTCGCCCAAAGATGTGCCGACCTGTGCAGATGGGGTTCAAAGCCAATTTCCATGTTAAAAACTCCACACGCTCCAAAAATCCCCTCTGAGTGAGGGCTTGCTGATAGGAGCATGTGACCGCGCTATCTGTTCTAGCGTGCATCTGTGTCAGCCACTACTCAGAAACCCGCCACCCCGAAGTCTGTGAGTTTGCATGATAAGACGTAGTAATAGTGCAGATATTTTATGCATACGTCGCAACAGAGTAAATTAGCAGGTAATATTTTTTGGTGCGTCCGCGTTGGACTGTCAGATCACAAAGACTGGCTTTGTGTGCGTCGCTTGAGTAATAGACCAGGGCTGTCTCAAAGATTTTTTCTTATTACATCTCATTTATTTCTTTTCTGTTTTAACTGCCCACATCAAATGTGAGCCAGGAGTCCTCTTGCAGTGATCCGGCTGCCAGAAAATCAGCTTCTTCTCATTCATCATCTCCAACATTAAAACCCAATTGCCTTCAGGCTGCTGTATTTTTCGTACGCGTGCGGTTTAGATGCGGAATAAAACCTGAGGAAAGAGAATAAAGGCTCTGTGTAGACAGCGCAAATTGTTTGATGAGTTATGAGATGAACTCATATGAAATGCAGAAAGAAATGATAGTGCCAAGCAGCATTGCCTGTATCCCGAGGACAGAACAGTCTTGCTTTTTATCCTGGTGTCTGCCAGATCATTTGTTTTCATGTGATTGGGGGAGAGTATTTTAAAGCTAAGCTCTGTATGTAATTATCCCAAACCCAGATTCCACTAATTTCCACATTGTGTTAGGACTCCTATCTTAATTGCAATCACACATTCCTGTAGGAAGAAAAAAACCAGACGAGACATTTATTATTTCTTTTTTTTTTTTAAACAGACTTTGTCAAGATTATTAATATCAGAGAGAGTGGCACAATGGTGTCAGTGCAAAAGGAAAAGTGGAGCTCCTGTCTGCTTGCTCGAGCTTTACGGGAGATACTCCTGCATGATAACATTATCCCAAAACAGACAAAAGTTTGTCAGTTTACACCGCCATTCTCACCGGACACACTGCAGGTAATATGATAGTGGTGTGATGACTTATTAAACAGAGCAAACCTGCTGCTTGGCTTTTTCTCATTACCTTTTCACTCTTTTTTTTTGTCCTCTTCTCATCATCAACCCTTGGAGCCAATGAGACTGGCGACAAAGCTCCCACCATGCAATTCTCTCTCCTAGCCTTCTTTCATCAGGCGATTTGGTGGCGAAATATGAAGCCGATTTTATCTCGCTTTATAAATTCACAAAAGGCCCCTAGAGTGCCCCCGTGGAAGACATACCGCATCCCAACCATGTGCCATCACTATCGCTGATCCCCTGCAATTGATAACGCCACCTCTCCTATTTAATGATTTGACAGGCATCAGAAGCCAGTCCAGCAGCCACGCTGGGTTTTTTTTTAATATACTTTTTTTTCATGTCATTGCCTGTTTACACAGAGTGGGTCAGAAGAAAGAAGGTATCTGCTCCATCTCCCCCTCTGAATGTGAGATTTATATTAAAAAGCTTCTGCTCTCATGCCAGTGTGATGCTATTCTTAGTCCGATTTTACACTAAAATTCTGAGAAAAGACCTCTATTTGGTTCTGCTTAATGCTTTAAAATCATATGAAATATATTCAACTATTTCTAAATAATAAAAAAAATCATTTTGAATTTATAGAAAATGCATTTCAATTTGAACTAAACTATAGAAAATATTACAACATAAAATGTAGGATTATTTTACTTTCTACATTTTTAAAAGAATCATACATTAATTGTATGAAAATAGCATCAACATGTAAAAAGAGAATTATTTAAAGAATCCTCCTGAGATCAAGCGGTATGATAATGAAAGATGATGTTTAATTATAATAATAAAACACATAATTATGCAGCATGTTTTAAAATGCTAATTCCTTTTTTTACATTCAATTTAAAGTTGAAATCTTATAATAAACTTGAACATTCTGCCTTTTCGCTTTAATTATTCAGTATTCCTATCCAAGATTAATCAGTCCAAATATCAATCATTTGTACAATAGTGTTATAACATCATGAATATTTACCAAAAAAAAGAAAAGAAAAAGAAACGTATGTGTGGGCGGCTTAGTTTTGTTTCATTATAATGATTTATCAAGCAGACAGGTATTTCCACTATTCTCTTGTCTTGCATTATTTGATCCACTTTTTTCTCTCTCTCTTTAAACTTCTTTCCCAGTAATAGATTTAAATTTACTTTTGATGTCGAAATCTGGGAATTTGAAGAGCTGTCATGACAACTAAGCAGGTGGCACAATAATCTAAAATAAACCACGACAACCTGTTATCACACCAAGAATTGGCTCTGACAACAATCGTCTCTGTTTATCAATAATGTAAAGGCTTACACAGAATTGATATGCAGCAACAATTTTAAATTCATTTCATTTTGGCCACTTAGGTAATAAGAATTTTTAACATCGCCACAACAAAGTCTCCAGGACACTGATAAATCATTCATCACTTCAGAAGTGATGTATTATTTATTGGCAATACATTTTTTATGTTTTTTGGCTCAATGATCCTAGAAAGGTAAAATAAAAATAAAAAATTAAAAAGTGTGAAGGTGAACTATTGGAATGAATTTTAGGTAAAACAGAAATTATTTATGTAAAGATTTTAAGGATTTAATATGTGAATTTTTATTTTCTTTTAAATATGATTGTTAATATTATTATATCATTATCATTATTATTCTTATCATTACATTATATAAAATATGGGCTTTGGGAGGAGGTGAATTATTGAGTTGTAGCACTGAACACATGGCTGTGCAAATTAACTTTTCCCCCCTGTGCTTTCTAGTAAAAGCCAGGCAGCCTCCCCCCGGGGAAGGAAGTCAGCAAGCTCCTTTGCAACACACTCTCTGGTTCACAGGGTTCCAGTTTGATCAACCTTCCATGTAAGCACACTACTCTTGATACTCATTAGGTTTCCTTCATTAAAAAGTTTGATGTTTTTTTCACAATTCCATGTCTTTTATCAACACGTTAGTGTGAAAACAGTTAACTCTTTCACTGCTCAAAATGACCTATGAGCTAATGCATGTATAGCATCACAAGAAAAAAAAAAAAATAAATAAATAAATAAAAAAAGCAATAATCATTGTCATTATCACAAATCTGCTCTTGGTCTGTTAGTCCTAAATACTAATTTAGCTGCAAAACAGCTTCATCTATTTTGCCTATTCATTATTCTTCCCTATCATATATCTAAATACAGATCTTCATTTTATAACTGACAGCTTATTACCTCTGAACACATGCTGATAAATTTAATTCCGATGAGTTAGCTTCAATTTTCCTATCCTATTACCACCTAATATCACACCATGAGGGAGAACACTGAGCTGATAGAAAATCTGTGCAAGAAAAAAGGCATCAAGGAGAGGAAAAATAACATGTTTTGATGCCTGTTTAATACATATGTTCTTTAGTTTGACAATCAATATTATTATTATAATTATTATCGTTATTATTATTACTACTTGATTTAATTCATTCATAATTATAAAAAACTGAAAACATTTAATAAAAAATAAAAGACATGCTTTAATTTTAATGAAAATATATAACAACTCTCATTGATTACACATTTGTACTATCACAAAAATTACAACAGTCTACGAAAGTGAGTTAAATTCTAAGTTTAATGCATACTTCAATTTACATGAATACTTCAATTTAATATAAAATTTGGTATATAATATATTTAGTAATTATAATTTGGTATACTTGGTATATATTTGGTATTATAATTTGGTAATAATAAATACAAAGCAATTTTAAACTATCTGAAATTGGATTTGTTAATAATGATACTGGTTAAACCATTCTTACAAAACCTGTCGAGCTTTATTATTTCACACACAAGTACACTTTGTTGTGGAGAAATGCCCTCATGAGGAGCAACCCTCTCTGCTTTGTGACGCCGGACAAGAGACGTTCTTCAAAGCAGCAAAAATGCAACTGAAACGCATACCATCAGAAGAGAAAATATTATTGTGCTTAATGTTTTAAACATAATGGCACACAATGCGCCGCGCAACTAATAAGCCTCCTTCAGCATATACCCCCCACGAAAGCTGCATTTAGAACCCTGTTGGGTCTCTTATTTGCCAAAAATAAATAAAGGAGCTGCATACTCTTCTTTTTTCCCGCTTTGATGTTGCCCTGAATAGCACTCAATTAACAATGTGGCTAATGAGCCCATTAAGGATGAAAGACTTCTCAACAGGTATGAGAGGAGGATGCTGTTCTCGGAGTCTCGGGGCTCAGCGCTCAGTGCAGCAGGAGTTGCGCACTGCTCCTTTACAGAGGCTCGAGAAGCAAAGCCCTTGTGCTAATATCAAACAGAGAGAGGAATTACAGGCGTCTTTTCTCCGCACACTTCAACGAAAGAATAAAATAATCTTATATCCAGGCAAATATAAGTTGAAGCGGCGGGATTTATGCATTTATTTTGCGCGCGTCGGGGTGTATTTAAAATAATTCAGTTTTGTTTTTTAGAATGAAAATATTTGGAAGTAATTCAACGACCGAGTCAAAAATGTAGATTGAGCTAATGATACTGGTTTATGTGATATGCCAATAAAGAAACGCTAGTTCGTTATAAACAAAATGCAATTCATTTATTAAAATAGCGGTGAACAAAAATAAGCGCGGTGGTAAAACTGTCTGTTTTGTGAAATTACTCTTTATTTGCTCCGCACAAACTGCGCTCGTTTACTTGCTGTGATAATATCATGATCATTTTATTTCCTCCGAAACAGCATACCCGACTTGCCTGTATTTCTACGACCTCTACATTTGCAAGACCGTTTTGATATGTGAACACAACCTATTTATTCAGCCCACATGAACTTAAGAGAAATAAATAGCCAAAGGATGTTGGTTGTCTTTTGTGCGCGGTTGAGTGATTTCTTTAGACAGAGAAAGCGGGCTGCGTAAAATAAATTATTAAATAAATAAATACAAATAATTGCAAATTAAAATTCATCACATGCACTCTAACAAACGATGAAAGTCGTGACGTTGATCAAACTTCAGCAGGATTTTAATAATGCCTAGAGACAGTGTGATGGCAATGACGTGTGATGGAAATTCCTTCTTCCTTTTTTTTTTTTTTTTGGAAGAAAAGTTGGACCTGCCATGTACTTCAACATTTTGATCTTTCCGATTGTTATTCTTCTTCTCAATAATTTATTCATCAATTATTACACTGTATTTATAAAATTTTAAAGAAAAATTAACAAAATGAGGCATGTGATGCTAATGACAGCCACGCATTGTAAAAAAATAATAATAATAAAATTGTAATAATAATAATAATAATAATAATTTACAAATTAACTAAACTTACAAATATTATGTTATTGCTTACAAGAAAAACAGTAAAATATATATTTTCTTGGTGAGAACGCACTTTATAATCCAAGGTGATGAAAGTGTGACAAAAAGGAAAAAAAGAAAAAGCGGCAATATTCTTTGACGCTTTAAACGTGATTAAACCATAAACAGTGTCATGCTGCAACAATTTTACGCATAAACGTTACAATATTTTAATAATTTAAACGACAAAAATAATAGTAATAATTAGCCTAATTATAGTAGCCTATATGCTACTGTAGTAACTACTCAAAATAGAAAAGGGTTAAACAACGGAGTGTTTCGCACAATAAACGAATAAATACATGAATGAATAAATAAATAAATAACATAATGAATACATGAATAAATAAATAAATAACTTAATGAATAAATAAATAAATTAATTAAAAATAAATAAATAAATAAATTCTGATTCCATTTTATTGTATGGCTTTTCTCCAACTTTTATTCAGACTTAGCGTCGCAAACACATGTAACACCTAATTTAAAGTAATTAGCTACTTTTTATGATTCCAAATCTTAAATGCAATGATGCCCAAATTTAGATATTCTGATAACTGTTTCTCCGTTTACCGGCGTTGTCCGTGCATCTAAAACGGATTCTTCTGATTTTAAAAGACAGATACCCCTCTCCATCCATCAACGACTTTAAAGCCTAAACGTTTATATAAAAAAAATCAACAAGAAAAATCCAAAAATAAAAATAACAACGTGCAATCAAATCAAATTACAAAGATATTAACAGACTAATTGCATTTTTATTAGCTTGTGAATATATGGTGCTGTGCCAAACATTGTGTGGTGACAAATGGACTGATGCAAAGGATGGGGCTGGTGTCTGACCGAATGGGGGGCCCAGTAAACTGATTATGAAAATGTGCAGGGCAGCACTCTGTTTTAAACTCCCAACCTCAGCACTTCAGCTTGAACACATCTCTCTCTGAATGATTTTCCACCATGGTGCATCTGCAGGCGTCCCCCTGGATGCTTTCCAGCTTTTGTTGTGCTGATGTGCTCTATTTCTCTATTATCAACAACATTTATTGCATTTCGCTAAAGGTTTTGAGCCTGAACAAAGTGTTCGATATGGTCTGCAACATATTGAATCATTGCTTTTTTGTATGTTCAGTAGGTGTTGTGTTTATAAAATGATGGCACAGTTTACATTTCATGGATTGTTTGCAGACTGGACTGTTTAAACTTGTGGGGGTGCGAGTTTATTGGCATGTTTTGCATTGTTCTGATCAGTTTGTGTGCTTGATTCCTTGGATTATCTCGACGAACGGAATGTAGTGTATTAAATCTACATGCTTGGAATGCAACACTATGCATTACCAGACATCCACCAGCATGCAATTTTCCATTTCAGCCTGCCACTTACTCTACATTATCATGTTCGCTGCTTTCTGAATAGACTGAATGAAAAAGGTGCGAGAGAAAAACCAAATAGCATCATTTTGCTTTCAAAATAAATGCGTCCATCTAGAGAAGAAGCAGAAACGCAAATTATATGGAATCCACTGACATGGAGAAGCTAATAAATTAATAAAACTGCTCATCTATGGAATGAAGTTATTGAGATGTTAAAGCGGAAGTTTCCCAATGTTATCTGTGGCTTCAGCTCGGGGTGTTTGGAGAGTGTGAATCTGCCTAAAGCCGCCAAATGCAGACATACATGGCATATGCTAAATACAGATAAGAGTGTTATTTAATAGATCTGGAGAAAAGACCCGTCCACATGGCTCAATGAATGTGCTTTGAATGTGCTTGATAAGTTGGCTTAAGCTGAATGAAGTATCCAGTGCAACACTGAGTTGCTGTTTGAGCTTGTGACAAACTTGCTGTTTAGTTAAGCCTGCATCCAGGGGAGGGATTAGAGAAAAGCCGTCAGGATCAGCCTCTGTCTCCCAAAAATTCTCATCACAAGTAATTGCATATACTCCCAAACAAGGCCAAATCAGCTACTTAAAGAACCAAAATAATAACAAGGTCTGTTCATGGGTCATCGACGTTATAGCTGAATGTAAAAAAGCAAAAATTCCCTCACAATTTTTTATTTTGATAAACATATAAAACATATAAAAAGATCTCCTCGTTTTATAAAACAGGCTAAATGTCAGATATTAATTTGTCTGGTTTTGAATCTTTGATTTGCAGCTAAATTAATTCTGGTTCACAATTCAATTTTAACACAGAATGATAAAGTGTTTGGCGCAAATGAAATGTATACAAAAGTGTTTTCTCTTTGAGGTCTTTAACGGCTATTGAGTATAGAGGTGATGAGAAGGGCAGCTAAGCCTCTTTTAAGCTTCTCAAACCTCTTAGTGGTTTGAAGCTCCTGAGGCTTGTGCAGCTATAACGGGAAAGATGAAGCAAGTCCTCCAGTGAAATAAAAATGACTGCTTGTTTAATTGTTGAATTTCAGTCTATTTACACACACAAAACATAAACTGCAGTTGAATGGCAAGCTTTTCTGTTTACCAAGGGTGCATTTAGTGGTTCTGAAATACAA